TATCCCAATCGGTACGCGCGTGTTCGCGGCGGTGGTCGAAAAAGCGATTGTTGTCATTGCTCATCTGAAGAGGCGTGATCTTCGCGTCAATGAACGCGTCCAGGTCGTTGAGGTATTGCTGGAGATCTGGGGGGACGGAGAAGTTCATGGTCGACATGGCTGCAGTTGAGGGTAAGCGGTCAATGTGGGGGTCGAAGGAGATCTACTATTAGCGATTCGGATATAGAGAAAATTGACGATGGTCCAAAGGAGAACGTATATAGATGGGGCTCGGTTCGGGCATCTTGATGACTCGCTGCAGCTTCGTCGTGGAGGAGAGCTGGAGCTTCGCCGCGCTTTGCGGGGAACTTCGGCGCCAAGGTGGGCAGAGCCTCGGCCACATTGGAGACTCACGTCCCACGACACATCTCGAGAACCACTATCGGATTACAAATTACGCCTGTATACGGCCACGGCACCTTCTTTCAAAACTCCGATAACAGCGCAGTCTATATGGTAGCCACATCGCCAGAGACTAAGCCTCTGCCCTCGATCCCGGACGAGGTCTCCAGACTCTGGAAAGCGCTACCTCCAAAACCGCTACCAGCAACGCCCAAACTAACACCACCCTCAAAGAGTAGAGTGTGTCTACAAACCCTTTTATATCTGGCAGGAATATGCATATGGTTTCTTGCAATCGTTCTGCTGTTGCCAGGAATCACAGAAAGAGATGCAATGCCTGGCCTCAATCGCTACCTTAGAGGACTATTTGTGTCTTTGCCAGATGGCAATCTGATAACGTCATCGAAAGAAGAGCTTTGAATTGAATCTCGAAGAGCTTGCAGAACATATCCTACTGTTCTACTACATCGGTTCCCAGCCGCTCTTCGGCGGCCCAACCGTCCATGTCTCGGTCCCCATACGCTCTTCAACCAACTGCGCACATCCCATCCCTTTCGCATCCTCAAGCACATTCCTGACCTCTACGTCCTCCAAAGCCTTCGCAGACAGTGAGATGCATACTGGGGGTCTATTTCGATTACACCGTCTTGAGAAAAGCGCAATAGCGTCCATGATCTCCTCCACGACCTCTTCCGCCGAGTCTAGTGCCACCACATGTGATGCCCCGCTCACCACTGCTTCCACTTTCCACAACGAGGACCTGCGTCTCTTTGAGGGATATTCGGACACGAAAAGATTCGATGAACGGGATGTGGTTGTGGAGGTTTTACGGTCTTCTTGGTTTGGGCGATAAGCAAGCCTACACCCTGGAATGCTGAGGCTTGGACTCTCGTCTTTATCCTCGTCGCCGGCAACAGTTGAAACCCCGCCAACTCCAATTTCAGTTGAAGCGTCATCAGCAACAACAAAATCATCGTATTCATACTCCTCGTTCCGGCGCTCATACCTGCTGTCATACGACTGGCGCCGACTGATATCGAGAGCGGCCTGGTACTCGATGGTATCTGAGCTTAAATCGAAGAGTTCGCCAGATTCGCTGTCGGATCCCTCTTCATCCCATTCGTCTTCGGAGTCAATATCCGAGTCGGACACTCCGTCGGATATCAAACTTGATAGACTATAAGAGCCGTCGCGGAGCCATGACTCGAGATACTTTTCTTTGGAATACTGTGTTGGGCTTCTCTGCTTTTGAGTGTGAGATAATTTGAGGTTGGGCACATGTTTTTGCTGTGAGGCGAGACGAGCGGACCGACGGGGTGTGCGTATTGGTGGCATGGTTATATTCTGTGGTTTGGTACTCTGTGGTGCATTGAGAGTGTTTGAGGGGATACTTGGTGGGATGTTCATTTTCATGGTTGAGGGTTGTACAAAGGGACGATATCCTTGGTAAATAAAGGACAAGAGTGGTGGCTCTTTGTCTGGTTGGGAATAATTGAGTTCTTGAAAGATAGCCTTGGAACCTCCAGTTATAGAATTCTGACTCAAGAGTTCCTAAATAATGGGGCAATGGTATAATGGGGCTTGATGTGTCTTTGGAATATTGAGCTATTCAAATCAAATGCTCCAGAAGGCTCATTTTTCAGATCATCTCTATGAGCCCTACCTACGATATATCGACTCAGCGAGCTTGATCAAATTGGATCACCTGAATGAGCCCTACCTATGATATATCGACGATATATCAACTCAGTGAGCCTCATCACTCAATCAACTTGATCACCTTGATCAACCTGATCACCTCCATAAGCCCTACTGATGATATATCGACTCAGTGATGATCAGATGGATCAGATTGCGATCAACTCGATCACCTCGATCACCTCGATCACCTCGATCAACTTGATCAACTCGTGAGCCCTATTACTCAATCAAGTCGATCAAGTCGATCAAGTTGATCGCCTTAATCTACCTAATCACCTCCATGAGCCCTACCGATGATATATTGACTTGGTGAGCTCGATCAGATCAATCAGATCAATCAGATTGATCACCTTGCTGAGCTCGATCGGCGGCGGCAGGCATACTGGTGACAATCTTAATTTGTAGAGCAGATTCAGGCGATTAATTGTGCATATTTTTAGTATAGATTAAAGAAGGATAGAGGTGCGAAGTGTATGGTAGCAGTTATTGATAACGTTCGCTTGGTGCGCGTAGATACAAAACGCTGCCAGATGTTCTCAGACCCTATAGGTGGATTGACTTAGCGCTGCTTCTACCGAGTTTTATCAGCTGGCGCACGGTCTCATCTGACGCACGGAATTTGCCGTACAGCGCCGCTACAATTGAAGGCTCACAGTATTGAATAATTGATTGATATGGCTAGAAAGTTGATGGAGTAGGAAACCAGTTACAGCGATTCTATTGCGCGTACTAGCTAGTTACGATATCGATTAGGGAGCTTGATAGCTCGACCTCGTCGATTTTCTTGCCTTAGCGACTCTACCACTTCAACAATTAATTGCTTATCAACCACCTGCCCTGATGTACCAATACGAGCTTAAGGAGGCCTAGTAGCCTTTCTGGCTGCCTTAGAGTCGTTTTAAAGTTACTGGTTAGCCTGCTTAGTGAGCTGGGCTTCCTGCTTCTGGAGTTATTTTTACTTAAGCTCTTCCTGTTGAGCTTCCTTTGCAGCTGCCTTTATACGCCTCTTCTCCTAAGCTATCTAAGCCTTCTCAAGCTTCTTAGATATCTTGATCCTATTCTTCTCTTCTTTTTATGTACGTAGGAGCTCTACTATAGCATCCTTCTTAGCCTGTTATTCTTATGCTTATTGAACCTTTCAAGGGCTATAGAATATAGCTCTACTATTATACTGTGCAGGAGCTTCAAGCAGAAGAGCCTTACTACGCTTCCTCTTCTTCTTTTCATTTACTAGAGCTTTGCTGAGGCCTTGATTCTCTATCTAGAGAGTTATAACCTAGATAGAGAGACTATAGATTGTATTACTAAGCTTCTAGGCTCATTAATTATATATATTACTAACTATACTACCTAGAAGCTTCTTAATATATCTCTAATCCTAAGCAGTAAGAACTGATCAAGAGCTCTTACTAGAAGAAGGCCTACTACTAGTAGGCTTACTGAATTAAGTAAGGACTCTCTAAGGGTTGAATAGCTCTATCCTATATACTTTAAAGCTAGATAGTATATTCTCCTTTGTAAATAAGATCTCCTAGGCTTAGTTAAATAGGTAGAAGAAGTCTTGCTTAGTAAGAGCTATAAATCCTATAGATTTATATATAAAAGTTGCTAGTGTATCTAAGTAGGCTATTAATAGTGGTTTAAATATACCTATATTGAGAGGCTGCAGTAAATAGGTTAAATAAGGTAGGTAGACTGCTAGTAGAATCCTATTCTAATTATAGTAGTTGATAAACTTCATAGAGACGTGAGATCTATAGCTATCTAGAATCAAGAGCTGGTATACCCTCTAAGCTACCTTCTTTATTCTTAAGTTAAATACCTGTTCTAGCTAGTATAGGCTAAGTTTATTATTTATCTAGCCTGTAGGAGATAAGGCAAAGAATATAGTATATATAGCTAGATCAAAGTCTTATAGCTAGCTATCTTAAATATTACTAGTAGTAGCTTAATAGATAAGGCTTAGAGGCAGGGCAGATCTATCTATATAGATATAAGTAATACAGGTTATCCACTCACAGTTACTATCCTAGATAGCCTGCTTAAGGCTGCCTTCCTTATACTTCTATCTAGAGAAGATTTACTTTATTCTTAAGAGTATACTAATAAGGCAGCCCTTCTTATCCATATTGTATATATACTGTAGCTCCACCTTATACTCTTGAATCTTCCACTAAAGAAGCTTAAAATATAGCTTATATTTGAAGGCTGAATCAGCACTCTTCCTATCATGATCCAGTCCAAAGGTCTAGTGAGTAACTAGAGAGATTTCGTGACGCCTGAGGAAGCGATCTGGCTAGGCTTTACCTACTTCTCTACTACAGATTTCTGAGGCAAAGTTGCATAGCTATTACTTTGTTGGTAGTAGGCTATAGCTGTAGAGGTAATTGATATACTTTACAAGCTCCTTCTCTTACTGTTTATTAAGTAGTCGTTGATTTTTATACTGTGTAGCACAAGAGCCCTGGACACCTCACCAGCGCTTTAATAGCCTACTTCTTTCAACGCCATAGAATTTTGCTGTCGCAGTAATATTAATTGATTCTCCTGGTCCTAGGGATTCTAAATGTGCAAGCGCTTCCTCAATACGGTCCATATTGGTGGAGTTACAATAATATCAAAATTCGGTAAATTCCGCTGTGGGTGTGCGCCAGGCGAGACCGTGCGTCAGCTGATAAGATTCAGTAATTGGCCTACAAAGTTTACAAAGTTTGTCATCACACCAGCCACACCACCTCTCGGGTCTGATTGATGAGATAATAAGTGTACCACATCATTCTCGCTTAGAATGACCCCGCTTTTAAGTGTGAGACACTTACCACGTCTTACAATTCTGGAGATGAGATGATTTGAGTGGGAGGCGCAACTCCTTGCCTTTATATCATAAAATTGTTACAGATAACGTCATATCAGAAATTGCCCGTTTGGCTTAGTGGTACAGCGTCTCACTCGTACACATGCGATATGAGAAGATCCTCGGTTCGATTCCGAGAATGGGCATTCACTTTTGCCAAAATATATAAACTTTTGTGCTTCCTCTGCCTGAGGTATAAGGATGCTGCTGTCCTTGGTTTGTATTCTCTTGACGATTTGCTTATTTTTTGGTTGAGATCAGAGGCCAAACATTCACCGTTGCCAAAGAGACTGCACAATTTGGATCTTTTGCATGTACTTGCAACAAAAGTTCTTATTATATACTCTCACTCACCATGTACTACCGAAGCCGTTTGGATCTCCCGCTGGCCAGCCTCATATAACGTCTCATAGAATGGCAGTGCCATTCACGTGAGAGCTAACACCCCCTAACAATCAGATTAGCATGACCCTAGTCATGAGACGGAGACTACATACCTGGGCAGTTTGCAGGAGCGGAAGAAAAGAAGAAGATCCACCTGTTTTTCTCTCGACACTTTTGCGCAAGCTTCTCGAGGTCCAACATCTCTCCCAACGGCATTCCCCAGAGCGCGAGGATGTATTCATGAAGATGGTAAGCTATTTGGGGTCAGTGTAGGTCTCTTAACAGATGGAAAGAAATTCAGGCATACACTCATGAGTAGGCCATGCCTCAAAAGACGGAGCGTCCCCTGCAACGGCCGCAAAATAGCAATCATGCAGCCAGTCTAGAATCTTCTCCTCTTGACTCAGACCAGCATATCTCTGTCCATCCTCCCCACCCAACCCACTCCCATGTCTGAGCGCCGCTTTGCTTCTATCATCCGGACTCTTTTGGTCGTAGGCTTCTTTCCAACCGCTTCGCACGAACAAGATATCGCCGATTTTGATATCGCCGCCTTGGGCTGCTGGGCGGATATCGATACCTTGGTCTTTGCCGCATTGGTAAAGCTCTTCCCAAGAAATGGGGTAGTAGTCGTAGGGATCGTAGTTGATGCCTTTTTTGTGTGCGTAGCCCCGGTAGTCCAGAAGTATACCTCGGCCAGCTATGCCTAAAAGGATGATGTACAATTAGAAAAGGTCTTTGTGGAGAGGGAGCCAGACAGCATGCCCTATTCGCCCATTGTTTAAGACAGATTATTCTGAGCTCCCATTTAGATGGAGGTTTAGAGCAATTTGCCTTAAAACTATCCAAATTGTAGTAGGACAGTCTTTGCTATTTGTACTGGAATCATACGTACCATGTTCCGCCCAGTGGTGGATGGAGCACTTTTGGTTTGCGGCGGGACCGACGATGTCGGAGCCTTTGGTCTTGAGTGGTTGTTAGATGAGTTTTGTTAGAAAGCACCAGCTTCCCAGTACTTACGTGATTATAAAATGTACCAGTGGGTATGTGTGCAAACTGAAGTTATTAGATGGGATCTCCGTATGCATCGAAGCGAGAGTAGGAGCAACATACATGTCGGAATCCGTCCCATTGTGTACCGCTCTGAGTGTTCATATGATAGATGTCGTCGTACGCGATGTCTTCGTGGAGAACTTTGATCTCATGCTTAAATACTTCACGGCCGAATGCAGGTTGGTTAGGTACGTCGAGTGGCAGACTGTCTAAAAGTCAGTGAAGATAGAGAAGATTGAGTTGTTGTCACTCACTTGACGGAAACTATTTCGCCAGTTTTGATCTCCTTTGCTGCAGCCTGCACACGAGTAGGCGTCAGTAGATTGATGCGTCCTACCTAATCTTTTGTGAGCATTACGAATCGGTCATCAAGAAGGAGAACGGACGTAGTCGTTATCTCCCCAAACCCAGGCAGCTTCTGGTGGAGCTCCGTTGATCTGCGGAAGCTCTTTCCGTGTGGGAAATATCGTGCAATCCGGATCCCATGGAATTGTTGAAGCTGTCTTGTTCATAGTCAAGAAATCCTTGATCTGTGTCAATCGCTGGTTCGTATTGCTCTTTTGGTCAGCCATTCTTGCTTTCTGTCCAATTGTGTGTGTGTCAGGTGGATCTCAATTTTCTTTTGTGAATTGAATTAATTTGAAGTCCTATTTAACATTCTCATGCGTGATACTAGGTCTTCATAATGTACCCCGCCACTAGCATGTTTCTCATGACCGCCTCCCCGCAATATGTGACGATGCGGCTTTGAGCCTTCCAATGCGCCGAGGTATTGGTAGCTCAAATCTGCCTCGTTTCCAATGACTCGGTGGATCTACACGAGAACATTGGACAGAGAAGTTTACATCAGGAGATATCGAACATCAGAATCATGTGCATCCTAGGAAGCTCATGGTAAAGAATGAAGAGCCGAGAGTTTGCACTGCAAGGTTCACCGAGGTCCTCCGGTGTAAGCAGACGCTACCTAGTTGCTTCGCGAGGTAGCCCTGAGTTCCAGGTTCCAAGGTTGGCGCCACTTTATGTACTTATCGTTGGTCGCGGAAGATTTTCCAGTTTACAGATCTGATGAAGAAATCCGCCGTAATTGTTCTATCTTGATAGGGTGAGATTTCTGCTCAAGTTTCTGCTTTGCTCACTCTTTCATCAACTTTGACCAAAGTTACTTATTTCCACGAAGATAGATGGAATTATTCAGTGACTCACGGGACGCAGAGAGAGCGACTGGAATCGTTCAGGGGACACATGGGATGGTGCAAGATGAAGAAAAACTTTCTTGAAGATGAGATATTCTTCTACAGTTCAACACACGCAATCTGAAGTATGCCAGCATACTGATAGAACAATGGAAATTATGAGTCGACGATAGGAAAAGCTCCCGGCCACTGAGTATAACCCTTCGGATACCCAAGTCGTTCGGATGGTGATCGCGATACGTCAGAGCTGCTATCTTTCCTGGGTATGCCGTTGGTAATTGGAGCATCAAGCGGCCCAGAGGCCAAATTTAGTGCAAACTGCAAGGCCCGCGGACTAGGCTGGAACAGCTCAACGCCACTCACGCTTGAAGTTGATGTGTTCGACCCGTTTTGGGTGCCCTGATCTATGTCAGTGCCGAAAACGACGCGGCCTGAACTGCTGCTCTCTGATGACCCTGTTGATCCCGTTGATGTTCCATTCATCTTGATAGCTGTCGCTTCTGAGGTGCCACTCACCCCGTTCACCATTCTGCGTGCTTCTCCAGAGCTTGCTGAGCTTACCCTATTTCCCGTTGGTTCCTCAATACTATTCACCCCGTTGAGCGTTGGTCCGTGAACATAGTTCTGTCTATTAGCCACCACCCTTTCTCCCTCATTGGACAAATTGGTGTAGTTGCTCGATGTACCATTGCCATTCATAACAGGCCCAGCGTCCATTGTCCTTGAGGATTCCCCATTGAATCCAGTCGCCCAATCAAAGGTTTTGACACCGTTCTGTCGAGAAATGTATGCTGCTTCCTCAGAGCCCTGTGTCACTCTCTTTCGCTTCGATTCTTCTTTCCATTTCTTGGCCGCATCGGACTTATCCCATTTCACCCGATAGCACTCCTCGTTAACGCTATGCGTATGGTACGCGCACGACCCCCAATGTGTGGTTCCTCGTCCCAGCTGCCTCAGTGTGGCTTCCAGCGCCATGGCTGTAAATTCAGCTGGCCAGTTCGTCGCTTCATCCCTCTTGAATTCTCCGAACCCTGCTGCGATAGCTCGATCAATGATAAGCTGTTTCAGTCGCCTAGACATATCTGGAGTATTAAAGACGTGTTGAATTGTCCTCTTGTCAGGCCATTTACCTTCGATTGTAGCCACAAGTGCGTCCGCAGCATAGTCCGCAAAATCTGGATCTTCAATCGTCGTGGCGAGTATATGAGCGTTGACTAGCGGCCAGGCCTCTCTCCAGCTAAGTTTCCTATTGTCGCATTTTGGAGAACTCTTTTGCATTACGATGTTATGTGGTGCTCGTTTGGTATTCAACCACTTCACATACATGTTGAACGCTCGAGGATCGAGATCTGGAAGTTGAATAGCAGGGATTTTGCTTGCATCCTCACTTGTAAGTGAGTGCCGTTCGTATTTGGAGAGTACGGGCGAGTGTTTGAGAAGCGAGGGATGTAGACAGAATAGACGGGGTGTTATGAAGCGAGACGAAGGATCTTGTCTCCCCAGGAGAAGCGGAATTCGTTGACCATCCGGACCAGCTGTATGTCCATTCCCGTGAATTGATGCCGCAGGCGAACTTTCTTCTGAAGGAGGAAGCGGTGCTGTCCTTGTAGGTGGTGGTGGTGGTGGTGCCGTGGGCTGAGAAACAGTCTTCATCTCGCGCTGTCCCCACTGAGGCGGTCTTGGGGCTGTCTTCTTCTTGTTTTTCTCCGGCGAGTTAACAGGAATAGGAGGAGGAAAAGGGGATTCTGGTTCCCTTTCAATGCTCTTTGAAGTCCGGCGTTTGCGAAAAAGCGGCATTGGTGCTGGAGAGAGAAACGCGCTGATTGAAAGAGTAGCGAAATAATGCGGATACAAAGTGTATTGAACCTTCTCCTACATACAGATAATGGATGAGCCTAGGTTCAGAGGTCACGTTAAAATACGGTTTATGTATTGTGTTTGTGGCTGTATGTGATGTGGCATGGCCAGCGTGGCTGAGATTGTTTGTCAATTGATTGGTGACTTTTTGCTGATGGTGACATGCAGCTGGTCACGTACAAACAACGATACCGAATAGTGGCGAATGCTGCAGACGTCTAATGTTTGGAGTAGTGATTCGGTTACCTTCATCCGTAATAATGGAATTGCACCTTCACCAACACCACCTTATAAAAGTCAACTTTGAAATTTATTTCCTATTCTACCACTATTCTTCCTAAAACCGCACTTCCCATTCTACAATCCAAAGACGCGCTTCCAATTCTACACTCAACGGCCACGGAGATATTCTCAGCGCTTAATGTGTCGAAATCCCTACCACCTTACTATACGATTAACTTCCACGTTGGAACGGCTGGCTCACCCAATAGAAGCTCATATTATTCCTACCAATTTCTTTCTCCAGTAGCGCAGCGTTCGAACTATCTACAATCTATCATTCATCCTTCTGCAACTGAAGCTCTTTCAATCGAGCTCCCTGATGTCGACCCCGAAGCCTTCAATCACTACATTTGGTGGCTGACTGTTGGATACGTCCC